AAGCAGACACTTGTTCACATTACAGTGTTCACCTTTGGAAGAGCAGTTGCTTGGATCTGAGGAATCACAAGGACACTTTATGGTAGCCATGTGGGTACAGGACTTCTATATATACTACAAGGAATATACTTGCAAATATTGGCATATGAAATTTGTGAATGTGTGATTTGCATACAGAGCCCTAGGAACACACATTTCCATCAAGCACTATTACATCTGATAGCTTTGCTGTAAGAGGGCTTATATGTTTTACCACGTGGTCTACTACCATATACTGCTGATACTGAATTTTTAGGGAGTTAAAGTAAAACCTATGGGATTACAAATATTTAATGAAACAATGTCCAGTGCTTTGGAATGTTCTGTAAAGTGACTTGTATGCATGGATGAAGAAAATCGAAATTAAAATCAAATTAAGGATTTCCTCCAGACATTAATGTATACTTCAGGACAATTACTTGGGCAGCAATGAAAATAGTATTTGATCATTTTTCTTGTTATATTCTGCGTGGTTGCGTTTACATACAAATTTTTATTTTAATATTGATCAATATAGTACATTTTGGGGAACAAAATGTACAGACCCAATGTCCTTATATTTAAAGGAGATTTACAAATATACCTAGCAAAAGGATTGTTTTATATTTATATTATGATTATTCATGTGTCAACAGGTTTGGGATAATTTGGGATGACAATTGGGGAACTGACAATAGACCTACAAAAAATATATAATAATAGATCAACACAATTCCAACAAAAGTATTTATCAATAATGAAATCAGCACACAGAAAACATAATGTACTATGGTAATCCATGCATGTGCATAGGAAAAGCTCCTGTAATCCTTTGGACTGCACAGATCCCATGGCTTTATTCAAGTTCTGACCCCAAAACTTTTCTAGCAAACACATTACAGTATGCCCCTTCTCAGCAATGATCTATCATGTACCTTCAAGCTTTTATACCAAAAATGCATAAATAATACATGGTTAACATAACATTCCTCTTTAGACATAAATAAATCAGATTTTCTTCTCATGCTCCAAATGAAAATAACAGGCATTACTGTATAAGCTAAGTACATGTTCATAGCTCCGTATAATTTCACAATTTCTTTACATAATGGAAACACACTTCTTTTTACATCTCAACAGAGAATCTCTTCCTCTCATCTTCATGTATCACAGTACAATAACAGAAATTAGGAAGTAGGGTGTAACAGGGGCGGACTGACAACTGATGGGGCCCCCCGGGCAATAGGGGATCATGGGGCCCCTGTATCCTTGCCCAAATTCAAGAAAGCCTATGAAAAAGGTACCAGGGGCATCTCATGGGGCCCCCTACTGACCTCGGGCCCTGGGGCAGTGCCCAAGCTTCCAAATGGTCAGCCCGCCCCTGGGGTGTAATAAATAAACAGGCAGGTGCATTTTGTAAAACTTGCAACAGAAATGATCTCAGTAGATCTTTTTCTAATTTTTAACACAATATGTGAACAGAATATTCAAGTACCACAGACTGTTCAAATTAAAAAAGAATCCAACCTCAGTTAAGAAAATTATGCTATGTGCATAATGAATTGAATATAGATGTCTTTATATCAGTGCTTCCAAACGTCCATGAATTTCTGCAGGTTCTTCACAGTTTCATTCACAAGTATGTTAGTTATTAACAGTTTAAAACAATAATTTGTGAGTTGTCTCACAAAATGTTTTAAAATGGAAACTTCATTAAAAAAAATGACCGAGGGAAGTGTTGTCTTGGACTGTTTTTGTTGCTCCATAGCGGCCAACTAGATTCTCCTTTTGTAGTATGAGGGAATGAAAGGAGAATCTAATTTGCTGCCATAGAGCACAAGCAACTTGGACATTTTAAGAAGACCTGTGCTTAGGTAAATATGATGATTGTTACTGCTGACCCTCCTTCTCAGAATGTTTAAAGGTTAAGTTCACCTTTTAACAAAAATAATAAATGCACTTTTTTTTGCAAGTAAAAAAAATGTGCATTTACTATTTTTTGTTTTGGGAGCCTTGAAAGCATTACACCAACGATCAACGAATCAATGAACTGCCACAACCCTCAACAGTGCCATGGCAGTTCATTGAGAACTACAAGCCGACATCCACAAAGAGTACTGTGAATGAGCGACATGGTTGGGCAGGCAAATCCCTGTTCAGCCATGTTTTTAAAAATTGTGACAGCTAGCTAGCTGTCAAAAGGGGGATCAGGGGGAGGGAAACAGTTCTTTCATACACCCTGAATACGGGTATAACATGTTACAAAAGGTGAACATATCATTTAATGTACTGACCTGGGTCAGGTATGCAGATTAGGAAATCACAAGTCTAAACTACAACATACTTGGGTCATTCAGTCTAAGTATTAAAGATATTTGGCCAGAATGACATTTACAAAATTAGCATTTTCAGAAGAAGGGAGAGCAATGGTAGCCTACATATTGACTCAGTACAGGTCCCCTTTGTTAATGAGGTGTAAAGTTGTTAGAATTTAACAAAATTTAACAATATTTGGTAAATACAGAACATGTCTATCCAGCCAGCATCAACACAGGTGAACATATACAGTAAATAAAACCCACTTGCAAATCATTTTTTGTGTACTCTAAATGCAAATGTATAGTCGAAAGGGTTTTTTTTTTTAACCAATCTTAGCAATTTATACCAATACTTTTTTGACAAAGTCACATAGATTTTATTACTTTCCCATGCTATTCTTTTGCATATCAGTAAATGTAGTATTGACAGGCAAGCATTTCTGAATGATAAAATTTTGAAGCTAAATATTTTTTATTAGGCTGGTAAATTCAGAAGCCTAAACCTGCTGAAGGTATGTAAATTGCTCCATTTGCTTTGTAAATGCAGCTGTGCAAGTTTTTTTTTTTATAATGGCATAAGTAAATGTATAACACACCTGGTAATGTTGCCATTTTCTGTAATGAGGCCTTCTTAAAGGATAAGTTCACCTTTTGACTAAAATCAATAAATGCACATTTGCTTGCATTTATTATTTTTTGTTTCAAGAGCCTGTAAAGCATTGCACCAATGATCACAGATCTCTGGTGCCATGCTGGTTTCCTGCAGATCTGTCAGTATATCTGCTTGCCCATACGGGATGTATGGGCAAGACGATATATTGACAGGAAGCTTCATTGAACTATCACGGCGCTTCACAGCACTGTGGTGGTTCACTGAGAACTACAAACTGGCAGCCACTAAGGCTGTCAAGACTTGTAGTCACAGAACTATGTGAATGAAATGGCTGTGTGGGCAGAGCGGGCAGCGGCTGAAGCAGTGGGAACATGTTATATGTCCCCCCCTAAAAAACAGGTGGAACATGTAACATGTTCCCAAAAGTGAACTTTTCTTATAAAAAAGGATGGCAACCAGGTCGCAATGCTGTATGACAGTGATTACCCTTTGCTTTTATGCAGTCACTGCAGTCAGTTCCCGCTAATGGCTGATTGACAGCTGTTCTAATCACTTAGCCTGTTATAAGGTGAGGAAAAAAGATCTACCGGTAGGGTCACCAGGTAATGCAACTTTGTTACAGTGGGAACTCGGGAAAACTAAAACTGCTTTAATAATTCTAGAAAATGCCACCTGGGGTGGGGTGCCTGGCTGATTTAATCTCCAATTGGCTGGGCAACCTCATTATTTATTACTTTTGTATTCCATGATAGAAAGATTGCTACAACTTCAAGTTTTTCATAGCAGTTGTATTCTAACCTGGTCCTCAAGGCTGCTTTTATAGTGTTTTTCACAGAATCACACTACTTAGTGTTTTCTTACACAGGACAGTGTTAAAATACTTATACAAGCACTAAAATATTTACCACATTTAGCCTATACACATAAAAAACTATTCATATGTATTTATAAAGCAGTGAATGTAACATTCCCCAAACATTGTCTGCAGGTGTATCTTTCTGGGGCATGTGTTTTTAAATGGCTGTAATTGATTCACCTGCAGTGATTGGTGAATGTCACATTCACTGGTTTGTAAATATGACTCTTAGTAGCATTTATCACAGAGCATGCTTTAGCAAATGGACAAATTGTTTTTTTGTAATAACTAAATGTTTTTGTAAGTTATTGCTCAATGCTAGCATTGTCTATTTCATCAACACCTACTTTTTACAAATGTACACTTTTTACATATTGTTGGCTTAGTTACTTAGCAACTTCAGTTCAGTTTGAAAACCAAAATGTAAAAACGTCTCTTTGTACTACCGTATTTCAGTCTAACTCAACTATACAACACAGCCCCAATGCCATTTCAGAAAAAAAATGTTTGAGCCTTTCCATCTATTGTGGATTAACAAACTAAAAGGAATATGGGTTAAATGGCAGAAAATCAATTTAGAAAAAGGCATTATGAGATTTTCTTTGTTTCTTCATTGAGAACAAGTGTTGACCTTACATCCACCTGCTACTCAGAATCAGAATTTGTAGACATATGACACATGTGAAAAAAACATGCCAGCACAGTACTAGGGATTATAAGGCTTTAGGACAGCTCATCTATGATGGCTCTTCTCGACAGGCCAGAGGTTTAAGATTTTGCTAAATAGCAGGCAATTTGCATTGTTCTATAATTGCACTAAATAAATTACTGGGTTGCAAAATTGCTTGAAACCTAACCCTTTCAGTAGTCATTGAAGGACTGCAAGCCCATTCAAGGCAGATTGTCAAAAATATATTGTATTATAGTTGGGATTTATACTTAACAGAAATAAAATTATACCAAGAACCAGCTTGGTTCTCTACTTACACGTGCCTTTGTTTTATTGTACAAAATGCAAAAAGTAAAAATAGAATTTGCAGCAATTTGAAAAAAAAATATAAAAAGGGCAAAACATCTTCATAAGGATTCAGCCCAGCTGAATATATAGACAGTTTTGTCTATTCTATTTGAATGCAATACGTATCCAACAGCAATTACACATTAAAAATATCAGAAAAACATTGTTTACCACTTACTATACCCAAACTGCTGTGTTCATATCAAATCCTGTGTACACAGCCTCATCTTTTCCCTGGTCATTTTTAGAATATGTTTTATTCATTGCTATACTTTTTCTGCTAATTTTGCTTGGCTTATCAACTTTTATTTTTACATCAGTTTGTGATGGGAAATAAAAGACATTTTTTTGTTTACTGGTCTTCTTGCTCCTTTTAGATATCTGAGGTGTTTGATCATCCAGATGTAGCCAGCCTGGCTTCTCTTTGAGAAGTTTATCCCTGTCAGGCCGTACACTTCTTAGGAATTTTTTGAAAAAGTTGGCTGTAAGGGAGAACTTTTTGTAGATCTCTTGGGATCTACTGGTATTAAGTAAGCTTTCATTCTTTTCACCTTTCTTTTCCAACTCAGGCAAATCTAACCAGTTTCCAACAAGATCCGCAAATATATTGTCACCCAAGATAAGAGGCTGCCTATTTCGGCTTTGTGACATAAGTGAAGATGTCCAGTCATTTCTTTCGTCATATATAGATTCATCATTGCATTGCTCTTGGCCAAAATACGAATAGGTGACATTGTTCAAATGGTGGCTCTGAAAGACAGCACCTGGTGCTTGTGATTCAAGTGTGGGACAAGTTTCTGTTGGAGGTGAGACAGAAGATGGTGCACATATAATTTCAGTCTGTCTTCCTCTTGCAGACATTACCTGATGACCTAATTTTGGTCCTGGCACAGAAACAAAGTTAAGTGAGCTGTCAGCCAACGAGCTGTTGTCTGGACTTCTCCCACCTTCCAGTGGCTTTGCAGCCTGTTTTGTTGGATTGATGCCTGACCCCATAGGCTTCTCTTACGCTTAGACAACACTGATTTGTTCTCAAATGTGTGAGATGGTTGTGTTCCCCTGAAATTTCCAGCTGCTCAAGAGCTGCCTGGACCTGGAGGAGTTTCAGTTCCTGGAGTGCTCCCATCATACAGTTCATCTGCTCTTGCAAACCTTCTCCAAATTCTCTCATTGACAGCTGTGAAAAAGAACATTAGAGCTCAAGTTACATCAAGGCAAAAATGGCATAGTTAAAAATATATGCAACAGTATGAAGATTAGGAGGCTAAATCTGGACACATATGATGAAATTTTGAAAGGGAGTAGACACTAGGGTCAGATAAGGAACGTGAAATTCACAAATGCACATGAAAATTATACTTTTTTTTTCAGCTGGGTGTTGTGTATGTTATGATAAGTAATTACTAATAAATGAGGCAATCAACAATTTTAATGTATACACTTCACAGTCTCAAGTTCTGTATGTTATTGATTATTTTAAAAGGATGCTTTAGTCACATTAGTCCCAGAACATTATCACCATAAGTCTTAGAGCACGGTTTCCTTCTGAGATGTGTTGGTTCAACATGTTGAGGTTTATTTTCCAAAAGGCAAATAGGCTGTTCAATTTGCAAGGAAATCTTTCCTTTAGCTTAGTGAATGTGTCAAAAAAGTAGCTTCGTAAATACCAAATAACGTGCAAAAAAAAAAAAAGACAATATTTTTGATTGCACATGATTGGATGATGGAATTTAGAACAGTTTCACCTCATTCACTAAGCAAAGGGGAAATTCTGTTGTAAAGTGAGCAGCTTGTTTGTCTTTAGTAATTACTTACATATTTCTAAGGTAGTAAATTTGACAGTCGCCAAATATTCACTGCAAGCCAATCTGCCTTGTGCATATGTTTTAAATTACAGTGACCACTTGTGAATGTTTGGTGAATGTCAAAATTATTTCTTTTAACCTTAAGGCTCCATGCACACTAGCATTTCTTTTAAGCTCAAAAAGACACTGGGAAAAACGCTGGATAAAAATGCTGGAAATAATGGGGTTTAGTAGCATTTTAGCAGCATTCAGAAGTGTTTAGGAGCGTTAGTATTTTATTAGCATTTTTACAGTAAAAGCTAGAAAAAAGCTGTTAGGTGCATTTACCGTTTTCTCTGCTAGAAAAACACTCCAAAAAACTCTACAAAAACATTTTTTTGCTCCTAGACTCTGAAGCTCAAAAAATGCAAACACTATTTAGCTTCTAAGAGCTGATAATAGCTTCTAGGAGCTTAAAAAATGCTAGTGTGCATGGAGCCTCATACCAACACATTTTTTCAGGACCTCAAAAAATGTTTATATAGGTTTTAATTAGAAAGAAAAATAGATCACATTAATTTTTAGCACAGCTTTTAAATATTTATCACAGCCCAAACATAAACTGATATAATCTTCCAACGATCATGCAAAAAAATGCAATTGTCATCCTCCAAATCATCCAACAGATTTGAGGTAAAAGGGGTGGTTGAGTATTTTGTCTTGATCTTTTTTTTTTTTCATTTAATTTAATTTTTAATTTTCTTTTTCATTTCATTTTTAGTTTCATTTCTTCATGAAGGGAAGCTTCATTAGGTTGTGCCTGGGATTTCATTTTGCCACAAGCTCGAATTTTTTCTATTACATTATGGCACAGAGTACTTTTATTGAGCACTCTGTAGCAGGACTGGAGACCAAGGAGGTGATTGATTAAGCTCTTTGAGTTTGTACTAAATTGGCTGTCTTAAGCAACTGTCAGTTCAAGCCCCCACTGGGACCTGCCACAGCATTTGAGATCAGGTGCCATTTTAAAACACATGTAATTGCAGTATCATTTTAAAATAATGCCTAAAAAACAAGAAGACTAAAGAGTGAACACTTAATTTTCTATCCAACCATTTAACTATTATTGGGTAGAAAATTATTTTCTTAGTAGGACTCAATTTTATGTTCTGAAAAAATAGGTTAACTCAAATGAAACAATGTTCTGCTGCATCAATAATGTATGCATGTATTCTATTCCCAACATATAATAAAATGTAAAAACACTGTTTCCACAGTATACAGTACAGAGGGAAGTGATAACTGTATATAGAATGTACATTGTCAGAATGTTCAGAGCACTCTCATTTACAGATGCACTTCTCTATTAGCGAGTGCACAATAAAACCTTCTCTTGGGTGACTTTGCCCAAGCACAGTTTTGCTAAAGGCTGAGTTAAAGCTGGAGGGAAGCACATTACAGTTTCAGAGACAAGTCTTTATGTAGAGCAGCATATATTATTTAGGATGACAAAAATAACTACGTTCAAAAAAGCAAGGCATAATAACCACTTTGCATCCAGTGCATTTTTTTTATTTTTCCCATGTTAAAATCTGCATTTTTTTGCTAGAAAATTACTTAAAACTCCCAAACAATTTTTATGCATGCAAAGATCCTGTAGAATAAAATGATGGCAGTTGCAATTTTTTATTTTACGTAATGTTTGCACAACTGTTTTTCAAATCTATATGATCAGGGAATAAATTCACTAAAATGGATTTTTGTGCACATAAACACAATATGATAGGACTGTATCAAGTAAATTCTGTAGATGCCAAATAAGTCAAGCTTTAAAACTGCACATGCCTGTGAAATAGCAAAAACTATGACACCCAACATTGACCGTTGGCAACACTTTAAAAGCCTTTAGAGGTTATCAATCTAGAGTTAACCGTGAATGTGGTCCTAGAATTAATGTTCTGACTCCAGCGTTCACGACGATACCTCAGATGGTGCAGTCACTGTTTACATACATGTGTTCACCCTACACACACAATTTGCATTTGCATGAGTCTGCAAGGGGTTGTGGCTGCTTTTAAAAATGTTATTTATTTTATCATAATCTACACTTTTTAACACTTTTTTTAAGTTTTTTTTTTTTACCTTATTGCTATCACAAGGGGGGTAACAAGCCCTTCTGTAGGCACAGGAGTGCCTTCACAATACCAGTTGAAAAAAATGGTATCAAGGTCATCAATGTTGCTGCAGCAATGAGCTTGTTTTAAAGGATAAGTGCACGTCTTTCAACATGATACATATTATACACCCATATTAGGATCAAACATGTTAAGCATCCACCAGCTCACCCCTGATCCTCCTCTTACAGGGAGCAGGGGACCTTCTCCCCAGCACCCGCTGTCATATTTTGAAAATAGCATGGTACTGCAATGCTCCACCCACATGGTGGCAACATTAATTCACAGAGTTCTGTGAATTAATGCCCACAGTTACCATCAGCCATTGTGGCTGATGGTTTGTAGTTCTCAATGAACTGTGAGGGCCCTGATGAGTGCTCTCATAGTCCATTGAGCCACCTGGACTTCAGTAACTGCTTGCCTGTAAGCCTGAAATTACACCCATGATCTGCTGATTGTGGGTGCAAAACTTTACAGGCTCCTAAGAAAAAAATAATAAATGCAAATTTTTTTTACCTACAAACAAATGTGCATTTATTATTTTTTTTTAAAGTGAACTTGGCCTTTAAGCACTTGAGTTCCAGGACATTTATATATATGGCCTGTGGACAGTAAAGGGTTACTTTACTAAAGCTGGAGAGTGCAAAATCAGGCTCACTTCTGCATAGAAAACCAATCAGCTTCCAGGTTTCATTGCCAAAGCTTAACTGAACAAGCTGAGGTTAGAAGCTGATTGGTTGCTATGCAGAAGTGAGCCTGATTTTGCACTCTCCAGCTTTAGTAAATAAACCCCTAAGTGATTAATACACTGTTTTTCATGCAGCTTCTTTGAGTTATGATATTTTGCAGTTCACTTTTCTGCCTTTTTAACTAAACTGTGCTACAGAAGAACACCGATGTGCATAGGCTATGTTTATAATTTTATTCAAAAGACAACACAAAGAGCAATAATCATGCATTAAATACAGTAACCTATAGCAACCAATAGCAGCTTAAATATTAAACACCTGCGTTACCAGCAGCACCCTGTGCTTCACTTAGATGACTCAAAGTGAGACATAACCTGATCCTTATTTAAAAAATAACTTCACTTTTAACATTAACACAAAGTTTAGCCTCTTCCCACCCTGATCTTGTAATGGCACGATAGACTTCAGTCCCATGACTATTTTATAAGAAGATAGGGGCCAAAGTGACAGTTTGTTGGCTAGGTGAAGTGTGGTGCAGTGGGCAGTGTCCCGATTTGCCAGAAATGGTGTATTGCAGAATTAGTAAAAACAGTAAAAACAATAGTAAAGAGGTAGCGGAGGTAGCTGCAGAGAGTTTCTGTCACAAAAAATAGGGTGAGGCTTGGCCAGTGCAACCCATTGCGGAGCTTACTGATAAGATATTCATGGTTTCTACTCTCTCTACTCCACTGGAACCTTTCCCTGCTGATAATACTGTCCTTGCCAGAAAGGAAACCTGTCCCCACACTAGCTACTCACATTGGGTGTACCAAAACCCAGGGTCAGAGTCTTAAATAGACTCTGCCTGACCCAAGAAGGCCAGCAGGGTCATATGGGGCAAGAACATCCAACCAGATCACTGCCCTATATAGCAGAGGAAGTCATAGAGAAACTCAGTCTCCCTTCAATTCCTCTCCCCACTGCCATGCCGCTGCGGTCCAGTGCCACCTACAGTGGAGGAAAAAGAGATTGCACCTGCCTACAATTCTATTCCTGGGCAGGAGATGATCATCACAATATTAGGGCTATACTACCAACAGGAAATTTTGTGATTATTGTTATTTTTATTATAAGATAGGATTTATAAAGCGCCAGATGTTTGTGCAGAATTTCACAAAATAAATGGGGACAGTTACAATACAATTCAAGAAAAAATGTTTAGGAGGACCCTATTTTTTTCACAGGCTTAAAGGATAAGTTCACCTTATCCACACACATATTTAGGATGTAACATGTAATATGTTTTAACATTCCCTCTCTTACGCCCGAGATCTTTCTCGTGACAGCAGATGGAGGTTCCTCTCCCCTGCACCCACTGTCACAGCCACTCTCTGTGTCATTCATTTACAGGAATCTGTGAATGGTTAAACTACAAGTCCTGTCTGCCATGACGGCACACAGACTTGCAGTACTCAAGGGACTATAAGTGCACTGATCAGTGTATTCATAGTACACTAACACTGCCTGTAGCTTTTCTCCAGCCAAAAACTGGAG